TTTTATTCTTAATGTCAGGGAGAAAGATAATGACCTTGACCTGACCTTGCCTCTAATATAAAACGGTCAAATTTAATTTCAATGATACTTTCACTTACTGATATTGTCTTATTGATTCTGTGAAAATTTCATTAATTTTTGAATATTAGAAATATGAGAAGAATCCTATCTTAAGTGCTGAGTATATGTCTAAATTTGAGCCTTTCACCAAACAGTGACGTCTCAATATGAGTGAAAAATTCTCAAATGGGACGCTAAACAAAATATAATTAATCAATCAGAGTCGTCTTAAACTACAGAGATGGTATTATATGCCATGGAGGAGTAAGCATCTTTTGCCGTCACCGGTCACACCCGACGTGTGCTCCTTGTCATGATTGTTATTGCATTTTACTTATTTGCTTAATTGTTATTGCTGACAAGGCCATTTTATCGACCATAGAACTTGCAAAATGATGAGTTTAAACAAGGCTGTTGATATTCTTGTTACATCCACTTGTTTTTTTTTTTTCAATTAAAAATACCCAACATTTTATATTTCTTATAAAATTTCCAAATATAAAGCAGACGTGTTAGGCTCAGTTTTCTTTATTTCAAGCTCACAGTGATGCATCTTTAAGGAACAAATGCTGATTGACGTTTTTGTGTACTAATTGTGAGGCCATTATGAACAAACTATATTTTCTACCGATTTTTCCGTTATTCCCGATCATGACTAAGAGCACATGGCGGGTGTGACCGGTCAGCAAAGGAAAGCTATAGGTCTATGTTTGCTCTACTCAACTTTTTGAGCTTGAATTCTATTCGTTTTCCTCTATGAATATTATACTTTTATTTTGAATAAGACGAAATTTAAAATCATTGCACCTTTATCACATAAATACTATTGTTGTTGATCATTTACAAATGTAGAAAGTACCAGGTAATTAATGAATTAATGTATGGCCAAAAAAACAATTCCATTTTTAGTTTGATAACGTAGGGAACCCGAAACAACTGTGTATTTTTATTAAAAGATTATAAAAATTATTCTGTTATCTCCTTTATTACTAATAATTTTCTGTTCATTGCGTCCATTGTTTTGATATGAAAATCGTTACGGTTTATTTACGGAACGCGAATACTTTCCATGGAGTGGAGTTTTACATAATATCAATCACTCACAATGAGGTTAATAGTTTTAGAACAAATCATGTCATTGGGAACCATATACAACACATTATGATAATGTGTATGACAATATTTAACACTAAAACACAACCTAAGAAAAGAGTCAGCTAAAATGTACTTTCCACAGTTTATCAATTTTCTAAAAACTAAAGACAGTTTATATTTTATGGTATGTTAAATCTATATCAATTTGTCTGTAAATTATGTGTATGTAAATAAAAAAAACATAAATAAAAATAAACAGTTTTTCTTTACTTGCATATCAATTTCTAATGCATAACCTTGTTCAAATATGATATATTACTTTAAAAAAAGAACGAAAAATAGATTATCTTCAATATTTTTTCTCTTGTTTTGACAACAAAAACATTGACTAAAAACAAAATAAATATTTTCTATTGTAAAACATATGCTTGATTTTCTCCTGATATCTCCATATAAAACAGTGAAAATGCATTTTTAAAGTCAGTAAAGTCTTCCACAGTCCAGTGTAAGCAGGTTTCCCTTGGTCATTTCAAAAATCAAGAAAGCGAAATGCTAAGTTCATCTTTAATCCATTAAGATTTTCAGTTTATAGGTGCAAGTATTTATAAGAAACACCAACATTGTTTGACATCAAAGACACAAAAGTTAGAACCAAATTTAAAAGATTTTGTTTAAAAGAAAACCTTTACTTCCTTTTTCTTAAAAAAAGGTATTTGACCTTTTTGTACCAAAGTTTTTAAACCCTTGGAGTATAATTCATTTCAAACAATCTACCAACTTTGAAGTGCATACCTTTGTACCTTTGTGTACATCTTCAAATAAATCAGCTGATTATAATACGACTAAATGCTCTACAGATGTTACTATTTAGACTTGCATTCAACTAGTTCATCAACAATGAACATATCTTATCTGAACTTTGAATTTCATAAATTGATGATTTGACAAGAACCTTATTGCAGAGGTGCTTCCTTTTGTTCTTTCAAATTATCTTATCCAAAAATAGAATTACTTGGCTATTTTTAATAAATGTTTTTCAGTTAATTCAAGGCACTTGAATCATTCCACAAATTTTACAGAAATTCCTTTTAACAATTTTAGTGTTTACTATCATAGCTTTCACTATGATACAGCATGTACAGTAATTACATTATATATATCAGCTCGGAGAATTGAAAAACCAGAGGTGGGAAAATGCTGTAAATAGAAAAGTAATAAATCTGGAACTAAAAAGTATAAAGTTTAAGTAATGTCCAAACAATGTCCATGAAACAACTTAGTGAACATTTGAACCAACAATAAATATTTTAACACACAATATCCTCATGATAACAAGAAAACATTCAAGATTTTACATTTGTTATTTAGGCTTCAGGGTCACCTACTCTGAGAGTTTCTTAAATCTGAGATTTTCCATAAAGTTTGACACAGTTTAAGTTTTCTTATCAAAGATTTCTCAAGACATCAAATCAAAGATTTCTCAAATTCTCACTTAAGAAATAAATTACAAGTTTATAAACTTCAATGGGAATTGAAGTGGGTCGGTCCGTGATCAAATCCTGTGAAGGCCGAAAGAGATTTGATTAAACTTCAATTCCCATTGAAGTTTATAAACTTGTAATTTATTACTTATATATACATTTGAGACAGACAATTAAATATTTTCGATTTTAAATTAATGCACTAACCGTCCGTCGTAGATTTTGAAAAATGACGCAAGGTGTAAGTCGGCTTGCATGGCGGTTACGCTTCGAATTCATTAGGCTAAGGAATCTATTTCGAAGGGAATATTTTGTGAAAGGCTACTTGTGATCAGTAATAGTGAACAGGTCGTTATCTGGGAATATTTTTATTCGTGAAAAATGATAATCGATGCTGATAAAAGTTGGAGGAATTTCGGTCGCGGGAAAGGGATGGATGGATCCGATGGATTGAGACACATGTCCGAGCCAGTTAATTTGTAATTTAATTAAAACATTCTACGGTTTCAGTAATTAAAGGCATACTTATCGTAAAACACTGATAAACACGGAGACACTGGCGACAGCTTTACATTGAACTACGAAAACGCCGAGGTGTTTGGCAGCTCTGTTCATGACATGATTGCAATGATATTTTCCAACAGATTCCACATTTATCGTGAGTAAAATTTAAAGATTAAATAAAAGTTTATCATGAAAATTTAACCAAAGGTCTACCCAAAAAATAAGAATTAATGAACGTTAGAGACTGTGCAGCTGACAAAAGTGAAGAAAAATGTAAACAAACGCTAGAATGCTCCTGTTTTCTCTTTGTACACAGGCTGAATCGATAGCCCAAAAACTGTATGAAATACTTGTTTACATTTTAAATAAAATAATTATCATTTTACTTGCTTATTTTGTTCATTTTTATACATGAAAAGCAAGTAGAGCAGGTCATTTTATAATTTATGTACCGGTAGATATTATTGCGCCGTGTGATTAGGTCACGTATTGACCTCTGACCTCCGACAAACTTCATACAGAATTGAAGATATTTTCTCTCTGTATGTTTATATAATGGAGAGATACCACAAATGTATATATTTGCATTTGTTTCATTGTTAGTCCATTATTTATAACTGAATTGACAATAGATTTTCCCGTTATTTTCCGATCATGACAAGGAACACACGGCGGGTGTAGCCGGTTGACAGGGGATGCTCACTCCTCCATGTCACCTGATCCCATATCCGATGTTTTGGGGGTCCGTCTTTGCTCTGCTCCTATTTTGTATTGTTTTATGGAGTTTTGATCTTTAATACTGTTCGTTTTCTCCATATGTTTCCTATAAACTTTTTTTCAAACCAATGTTCTCTTAAACTTTTCTTTACCATGAGTTCGTGATGGTATTACACTATCATACACTTTCTAAAGTCTATTTTTAAAACACATACACTTTAAAACAGACCTCTTAAAACAGAGGAAGGATTAACTGCCATTGAAAGGGAAGCGTCCCCTTTCGACCGATTATACCCACTGATTGCTTTTCGTAATGAATGGGAAAACGTACACATCCGCATACAATTCGATGCAATAAAGTTGATTCACAACTTTAAATAGAAATAGTAGTGTTTATATTATTTTTGTGTACTGCATGATTTTACTATTATCAAACTAGGAAAATATTACTGAAATCATACTAAGACTGAAAGAGTAGTCGCATTTTGAAAGTATATTCAAGTTCTATAACCTAGCTATTATTTGTCTCTTTTTTGTCAGTTTCAAAGTTATCCTCCATGACTGTAAGTGTTCCAATGAAGCTTTTAAGAATATTAATTTCAGGCGAATAAAAGGCTGTGTACGGTATTTAAAAAAATCTATCTTATCTTTTTTTAATTGGACAAAAACCATAGATGGTCTAGCTCTTTAAATTATTTACAAACATACAGATGAATGACAGACATTTCTTAGTTCTTTGACCAAAAGGACTACTAACAAACATGTAAAACTAGAATCAGAAACACCGAATTCAATAAAAAATACAACTTTAAAGAAAAAGCATGATATACACGTTAGCCGCACACATCTTCCTTCTTGATTAAACCTTTTGTATTGAGAGTTACATGGGGAGAAATCGTTCGATATTCCCTACAACCCAAGTGTCGGAAGCCTGAAGCATTCTCATTATCTTGTCAAACGTGACTTTATTCTAAACCCATCCTTTTGATTAAAAGAAAGTTATGTCTAGATTAGTCAAGGCTTTTGATAGGCAATACAAGCTTAAATGGCCATGACTTCAGAATCTGGTTTCCGCTATGATGCCGATGTATTTTATGTGATGGGTGCTGGCCGATTCTATAAAAGTGACAAAACACATGGACTTTACATGCAACACTATTTACAGAGATGATTCCCAGAGATCCTTTCTGCATTTCTCATGTAATGAATTCTGGGATCAATAATTGAGAAATATGAGGGCATATTTCTTGCAAATGATACACCAGTCTTCTTCAAGAAAAGGACAATGGAGGTTTCGAAGATGGTGTTAACTTTGATAACAATATTAATTCACCTACAATTTTTATTTTCTGAACAAGAATTGTTGCCTGATGAACAGAAATTACTATATGACTTGGGTCTCTTTGACGTTGACGTGTACGACAAGAGTGTGAGGCCAGTTTTTAACGCCTCCAAGAACGTTCTGATAGATTTTGGATTTACGTTGATTCAAATTGTGGACATGGTAAGACCATCAATATTGTCTGAAACGTTTAAAAATTACATTAAAAATTAGTAATATATAATACTAATGTTAAACATTGATTTTCTAAAAGGAACAGCTCAGTTGATGTTTATTATTATGTCAAAGATTATAAATTATTTATGTAAATCTTGATATTTTATATTCTTAAAATATTTTTAATTTTTTTTATCAAAATAATAATGTCTACTGGAGTATTTTTGATGCATCTATGACACTTTTGTTCAGTTTTGTATTTCTAATGAAAGTAAATACTTTGCAGGACGAGAAAAATCAGGTTTTGGTAACAAATGCTTGGCTGGTTCATGTAAGTTATTTATTCTTTTATCATCCTTGTCTGGTAAAATGTATTAAAAAAATTCTCTTTACTCTTAAGCTTTATTTTTGTATTTTTTCAAAATTGAGATTAAGATATATAATTTTTGATAGTTACTAGACGAGATCTCTAGCAAGCGCAGGAAATTGATATTTTTTTCACCGGTAATGGAACAATTTCGATATATTTAAGTAGTGTTTAAGACTTTGTTCAAAATGTAATCCACACTGATAAACTTCAGAGCGTCTGCTCTACACTCTCGAATTAAAGAGTTGATCCATACGTCGCGGGTTCGAATCCCCCTGTGGAAAGTGGGGACCGATCATTCTGGTCTTCCGGATGAGACCGTAAAAACTGAGGTCCCGTGTCGCAGTAGGTGCTGGTACAAAAAAGATTCCTCCCTGCTCAGCTGAGTGCCTAGCATAGGACAAAATTTGCAGCTCTCCATAGGCAAGCAGGGCGTCTCCATATGAGTGAAACATTCTCGAGAGGGACTTCAATCAAAATATACAAACAATAAATCAAAAAGTTTCATTTTTTCTTTTTCATTTAACGAATTTTTGTTAAAAAAAAAAAAAAAAAAAAAAAAAAACAATACGTCTACCAAACGTGTTACACAGAGATAGGAATCACACCATACAAACTGACTTGTGAATGGCAGATTTCATTAAGTTAACTGGGAATTGATTCCATCCTATATATTTGGTACGTGTAGAGATGGATTGATGACAGGATTCGTTGGAACACCAGTGATTATAGTGGTCTGTACAACCTAAGAGTTCCAGCACGGGTTCTCTGGCTGCCTGATGTTGTATTGTACAACAAGTAAGTACCAATAAAGTGCCGTCTTAATTGTAAAAAAAAAAATAGAACTATAGAATGTTTTCAATCTAAGGTAATATTTGCATGTATCAAAATGAGAAAATAAGAAAATGATTACTCTTTTGTTTATAGCGCAAATTGAAATTTAAAATTATATGCACATTTAAATTTATGTAGCTTTAAGTTTAATTTAAGTAGAAAAACATATGTACCAAACATATAAATGGATTTTTTTCCGTTTCTTCAAAGCGGCAATAAAAAATCCTTATTTATCATTTTTTAATCTTCAGCATGGACGATTTTTCGAAAAGAGAAACGCAAAAATAATGCATCAAAAGAAATTAAGAATAATAACTATCTGCAAAAAAATTCTCATGCTCTTGAACTTTATCAATATTAATTTTTAGCAAAATGGAGCGTATCTTGTGATTTCTGATTAAATTTCATCCTGATCTTTCCATCAATGATATATTGAGCATAGTAGTCAAAAATGTTTTTGAGGGAAAACGATAAAAAAGGTCGATAAATAAAAACAAAACTTGTATCTCATGAATTGATACATTACATCAATCATCGTTGAGGACATAATTCCTCTTTTATAGGTAATTGATTCCCTAAGAGAGATTTAGATAAATAATTCTCCGACATATATTTATGTATTATATAAAAATTCGTGATACGGATACGAAAAAATGCCAAGGAACTTCTAGAGCATTTAAAATTATAAAATTTTACCAAAATCAATAACATATTAACTTGAATTTTTGATTTTATATACAGCCATTCCTCTCGATTAACTTAAGCCAAGGCGCTGCTTTTTCAACAATAAGTTGAACTCATAAATTAACTTTACCTTGCCACTAATCTGGTCATTTGGATAATTTTGTTTCAAAACATTCTGTATACACAAGTGCTCTGAAATTGATATTAAAAAAGATGCTCGAGTTTCTGTTTGACATGTATCTACGTGGTTTTTGAAGACCAGGTCTTCCAACTATCTGTTGCAATTACCATGGATACCAGTTGCACCCTGTAATTACAGTTGCACCCTGTAATTACAAATTAATTTTTGTGTTCAAATAAAGTAGAATTTGTTTAAAATCTTATACGTGAAAAAAAAAGAAACAATTGCTCGATTTAACATACGTACAATTTCTTAAACAAGATAAATTATTGAGAAACGAGTTAATGAAGCAATAATATCAACAGTCTCCTTTAAAATAATTATTTCGTAAGTTCTATGGTCGATACAATGACATTGACAGCAAATACTATCTATCATTAAGTCAAATACTGACTGACCTTTTTCATTTAAGGTCATTATTTACACACTGAGTTGTTATCACGAACACGGTGGGTGTCTCCGGTCGGCATTGGATGCTTACTCGTCCATGGTATCCAATTCCGCCTCTGATTATTTTGGAGGTCCGATTTTGCTCTGCTCCATTGGACATCTGATCTTAAATACTGTTCGTTATCTCTATATATTTCAAGCTTTGCTATAGATGTAGATTTTTTTTTTTAGACTTTCAATCAATTTTTTTAGGTTGAAATTTTGCAGTTAACCATAATACCCCAAAGTCGTATATTCAAACGATTTATTTTCGTATAGTCTTCAATGTTGAATGTTATGCATAAGTATAAATTGAAAAAGATTCATTTAAAATATGGTTTATAATATAAACATATTTTTTAAATGGGCAACTTTGAGCGATGCTAGATGATAGATGTTTGACCCACGCTCCGAAGGAGAGGCGGTCTACTGTTTTACCTTTGAGTGTCTGTCCATCTGTCTGGGTCGCAGTTTTCTCAGCAACTATCATCGAAGATGCTTGAAATATTAGCATACTCTTTGCTGACGTATGCCATATGATAAGATTAGTTTTTGTTCAATTCCAATGTCAACTTCCTGTTTAACCGTGTGTCAGTCCGTACCATAAAAAAAGTTTCGTTGCAGTTTTCTCAACTACTACTTTTGGCAGCTATAAATTGTTTTAAACAGTTCTTAGTGCTAAATTAAATTGTTCATATCCTTTTCGAAAAAGTTCAATAATGAAAATTGTCTTTCAAAATTGCGTCATATATAATTCTCCACTAAAAAAATTCTAACATTTCCAATGTTTTACTGAGCTGGCACAAAACGTTTGACTGCATAGTGAGATGTTGGACCTGTCAATGACATGTTGAACCATACGTCACCAAATGGGTTGATTAATCCATATCGACGGAACCGTAGTGCGGGAAAACGAAATTTACATTACGAATTGTCAAAATAAAAAGGAACAGGTATAACAAAACATATATACTCGCTTCTCATTATATCGCGGGTTCCATTGTATCGCGGTATATTCCAAAAATCCAGATACATAGCTCATATCCTTTCTGTTAAAATACTATCTGTTTGTCGTCCGAATGTAAACTTTTGTGATGATTATAAAGAACGGAACATGCGTCGGTTAATTTTTTATTCAAATAAAACGTAATTTTACAGATTTCTATTCCCGTTTTTATCATATTTAGATCATTGATTTTACAACCTTAAGTAAAAGCCATAATAAAGTTCATGTTTCAAAAGTCTTTAGTTTGTATAAATGTTTATTTTTTTATGTAGAATTACACCGTAAATATAAAATAAAAATTGAAGTCCATGTCAGCCACAAGTTTCCATGTTTTCCTATGCCGCGATACTATGGGACTCTCCAATTTAGGAGGTAAATAAGACTTCCCGTTTTAAAAATAGACAACAAATTATACGATGCAAATCTGAGAAATAATTTGGCACTAAAATGTTAGGCCATAGATTGGTTTATGGATAGTATTTGATGAAAGTTAAAGTAAAAAATTGGAATAAGTACCGCGATATTATGAGACACCAGTATACTGTATTAATCGTGTTCTCGAGCAAAATGCGTTTTGTGACCCTCGAACCAAACTGTATGGTTCTTGGATCCGAAAAAACACACGTTGACCTCGAGCACAGTCCATGCATGTACTATATTACTGAATCAACATCAAATAATGGTAACAAACCATTTTCATGGAAACAAAGCTTAAATAACTTTTTTTTTCACTGAATCTAGTGCTGATGACTATACCTCAGGTTTCATGCCCATTAATGCCATGGTGTACAACAACGGGGAAATATTCTGGTCTCCGCCATCAAAACTAAGAAGTTCGTGCAAGGTTGATATTACCTATTTCCCTTTCGATAAACAGATCTGCCCACTCAAATTCGGATCCTGGACGTACGATAAAGCCCAAGTGGACATCAGGACCACCAACGATTCTGTAGATGTTGTAGGTTACACGTCAAACGGCGAATGGCTTCTGATTGGTCATTCGATAGAACGTCATGAGATTAAGTATCCAATCAGCAGTGAGATATACCCGGATGTAACAGTCGTGATTGTCATACAACGCAGGATTCTTTATTATGTACTTAACATTATATTTCCATGTTTCTGGTTGAATATCCTTAGCTGTCTAACTTTTTGGTTACCATCTGATGCTGGAGAAAAAATTACACTTAATATAACTGTTCTACTGTCGTACTCGGTGTTCATGTTGGTGGTCGCAGAGAGCATGCCACAGACTTCAGAGTTTGTTCCTTTGATAGGTTTGTATTCAAAATGCGATTGGCAAACAGTAAATGGCAAATTAGTAAGTACCATTGATTAGCGTGTATGCGATGGAAATTTTAGATTTATATAAATAAGTGTTGAATTTTCAAAGATGTACACAGCGAAACATCTAAAAAGCCGCACAATAGCTTTTGGCATTATTGGCACAAACACCTCATATTTTACGATAGGTTTCTCGTTCTCGAAGTTCTATTTTCGCCCGCGCGGCGCAGTGGTTAGGGCGCCTGTTCTAGAGTCGAGAAGTAAGGAGTTGATTCTTACATCGAGGGTTCGAATCCATCGTGGGACGTGGAGATTGGTCTTTCGGATGAGATCGTTTTAACCGAGGTCCCGTGTCTCAGTAGGTGCTGGTACGAAAGAGATCCCTCCCTGCTCAATGGCCCTGAGTGCCGAGTATATGACAAAATTTGCGGCACTCCACCGGCAATATACCACCGAAAATATATACCTCGGCATAAAACAAGCTAGTTAGGGTATAAATGGATTGAATTTGTTCTATAAATAATAAAAAAGAATTTCGACAAAACTGGTACAATATGTATCGATCGAGTACGGGGGTTTGAAGATTTGATAAGTATATTTTCTGTATTATCTTTGTTGTGAAATACTAGTACTTGTCGTTCAACTTTTTTGCATTGCTATAATCATTGAAATTATCGATTGATTGATACTATTTTTCAACTATTTAGGTATATATCTAACGATTTCCATGTCTACATCCTCCATCTGTGTGATTATATCAGTGTTTATATTAAAACTACATCATCCAGGACCCCAGCCGAAGAAAGTTCCACGATGGATTAGAGTTATTGTTCTTGGATTTCTTTCACGTTTGCTCAAATGCACCTGCTGTCGACGACAGAATTATTCAAAACAGAGAAAAATCTTGCCTAGATCTTCTTCCACATGTTCCAGTCAAGGCTTTACTGATAGTTCATTGTTGTCTCTCCAAACTCAACAGAAACATCTATCTGAGAAAAAGCTGAGATTGTCATACGATAAGCTGAAACACATAGAAGAAGAGAACATTTTTGAAATCGGTTCGTCGAGCCAACCACAACACAAACTGTCAAATATAGAGGAACTAATGAGTAACCTGAGCTTCATAGTATCTCAGTCAAGCAAAGCTGAGATGGAGTATGAGATCATCGATGAATGGAAGGAAGTTGCTCAAGTTGCTGATCGCGTTGCTTTTCTCTGTTTCTTCTCAGTGACGCTGTTTTCAGCTATTGTTGTTTTAGTTATTGTACCTAGTTTTGTTTATAATGAACAAGATGGAATCTGAGTCATAAAATACAGTTGTTGTTGCATTAAAATTTTTCCTATTTTGTTTTTAGAGACACGCTGTATTTTAGCAATCGTAGATAATTCCACCGAAGGATTTACAAATCAAAGATAAAAAATATACTCTGGAAGGTTATAACCTGACTACTGATATTGATCTCAAAGTATAAGTTTTGGAGCTCACGAAGGTGTAACCTCAAAATTCACAGCAACAATGAAAATTATAATTTACAAATGAAAACCGGTAATAAATATTTGTTAAATGTTCATTAATTTTACCGTTGTACACTTACTTGTGTAGCTTGCAATTTATTGTCTTGTTTAAAAATATCTAAGATTTTCTTGCATAATGATACAATACATGTATGACGTTGATTTGAACGTTGACTGACATTTTCAATACAATTTATGAGGTCATTATTTACTATCACAAAATAAAATTGCCAACATCGGCCCAACATTATTAAACCAAAGATATATTTTATGGACTTTTGAGCTTGAATAATGTTCGTTATTCTCTATATAAACCATCGACACATATGCTGGACCAACGGAACAAACATTTAATGCCTTATCATATCATAACTAAGAACTGAGCCAACGTTGGTCAAATCAAGATGCAATATCATGCACTGAGATTTATGCCAACGTAGGCACAAACATATAAAACCAAGAACCATTTTGGTAATGCAGAAGAATAGGCAAACATTAGTCGAACCACTGTAAATCAGCATCTGTTTGTACAACCTTTAAACTATTAAACTTAAGGTCAATGTAAATGCAATATGCACAAGGTCTTTGTTTTTTAATTGTTTTGAAAATATTTTATTGTATAATTTATACGAAAGGATTGGTTACAAGTCTGAAAAACGTTTCCCTCAATATATGCAATAATAATAATTATAGTAATTGTCGAACAGATTATTAACACAGGTGCTTGAGGACAGGACACACACACACCCCTTCGATATACACCCCTTGGCTTTTTCGATTTTTTTCTCATAAAAAATCTTTCATTGCCATATTTGTGATAAGATCTATACCAGCAAATCAAAAAATTTCCTAAAACAAACGTTCCATTAAATCTACCCTACATTCTCTATATAAAAATCAACAAGGTTGCCAACTCCGTAAAAAGCTTATTGAACGGAAGTAATAAGGAGAGGACTAATTCCCGATGTTCCCAATATACCCAAATAAACGCGTAAAATATCAACAATAGATATATTCTTGTTTTTTTTTGTGTACGAATTCTTCATCAAAATTTCGTTTTCAAACGTTTTGTAGATTTACACAAATATTTAAGGAAAAGAAGATATTTTTATAAATTGCATTTTTAAAAGGGCATAACTCTCACATGCAAATCAGGTATTTGAAAAATAATTGGAGACATTTCATTTGCATCAGCGGTCTAGAACTCTATTCTCCCAATACATTTGAAAGACATTTTTTAAAGTGAATAACAACCAAATTTCTTCAAAAGTTTACTTCAAAACAGTGTCTCAGACTTTCTGCAGAACTGTGTATTTTGGTAAAAAGTCGTCTCCTCGTCACTTCCGTTCACTAAGCAAAAACGCTGACTGTAGCCTGACATCCTTTCGAAAACTTGGACATAACGACTGTTAAAGTGCCTTAACCTTCATGAGAGTTGGTGGTTAATGAAACGAATATTCAATCTACAATATGAGTTGTTGATTTTAGGGCTTTGTTTAGATTTATGAGACGATTCAACCAAAATTCTCGGCAGTGCCTCTCGGTTTGCAGACAAAGTTGGCAACCTTGTTAATTTATATATAGAGAGGGTAAATATTTTTATAAAATGTAAGTTTAAGCAAATTTTCTGAATTGATAGGATAGATTATATCACAAATGTGTCATCCATATATAATTTATGTGAAAAAAGTCTAACAGGCCCGGGGGTCTATATTAGGGGGGGGGGGGGTCCTGTCCTCAAGCACCTGTGATTTTACCGTTGTACACTTACTTGTGTAGCTTGCAATTTATTGTCTTGTTTAAAAATATCTCAGATTTTCTTGCATAATGATACAATACATGTATGACGTTGATTTGAACGTTGACTGACATTTTCAATACAATTTATGAGGTCATTATTTACTATCACAAAATAAAATTGCCAACATCGGCCCAAAATTATTAAACCAAAGATATATTTTATGGACTTTTGAGCTTGAATAATGTTCGTTATTCTCTAAATAAACCATCGACACATATGCTGGACCAACGGAACAAACATTCAATGCCTTATCATATCATAAACTAAGAACTGAGCCAACGTTGGTCAAATCAAGATGCAACATCATGCACTGAGATTTATGCCAACGTAGGCACAAACATATAAAACCAAGAACCATTTTGGTAATGCAGAAGAATAGGCAAACATTAGTCGAACCACTGTAACTATTAAACTTAATGTCAATGTAAATGCAATATGCACAAGGTCTTTGTTTTTTAATTGTTTTGAAAATATTTTATTGTATAATTTATACGAAAGGATTGGTTACAAGTCTGAAAAACGTTTCCCTCAATATATACAATAATAATGATTATAGTAATTGTCGAACAGATTATTAACACAGGTGCTTGAGGACAGGACACACACACACCCCTTCGATATACACCCCTTGGCTTTTTCGATTTTTTTCTCATAAAAAATCTTTCATTGCCATATTTGTGATAAGATCTATACCAGCAAATCAAAAAATTTCCTAAAACAAACGTTCTATTAAATCTACCCTACATTCTCTATATAAAAATCAACAAGGTTGCCAACTCCGTAAAAAGCTTATTGAACGGAAGTAATGAGGAGAGGACTAATTCCCGATGTTCCCAATATACCCAAATAAACGCGTAAAATATCAACAATAGATATATTCTTGTTTTTTTTTTGTGTACGAATTCTTCATCAAAATTTCGTTTTCAAACGTTTTGTAGACTTACACAAATATTTAAGGAAAAGAAGATATTTTTATAAATTGCATTTTTAAAAGGGCATAACTCTCACATGCAAATCAGGTATTTGAAAAATAATTGGAGACATTTCATTTGCATCAGCGGTTTAGAACTCTATTCCCCCAATACATTTAAAAGACATTTTTTAAAGTGAATATCAACCAAATTTCTTCAAAAGTTTACTTCAAAACAGTGTCTCAGACTTTCTGCAGAACTGTGTATTTTGGTAAAAAGTCGTCTCCTCGTCACTTCCGTTCACTAAGCAAAAACGCTGACTGTAGCCTGACATCCTTTCGAAAACTTGGACATAACGACTGTTAAAGTGCCTTAACCTTCATGAGAGTTGGTGGTTAATGAAAAGAATATTCAATCTACAATATGAGTTGTTGATTTTAGGGCTTTGTTTAGATTTATGAGACGATTCAACCAAAATTCTCGGCAGTGCCTCTCGGTTTGCAGACAAAGTTGGCAACCTTGTTAATTTATATATAGAGAGGGTAGATATTTTTATAAAATGTAAGTTTAAGCAAATTTTCTGAATTGATAGGATAGATTATATCACAAATGTGTCATCCATATATAATTTATGTGAAAAAAGTCTAACAGGCCCGGGGGTCTATATTAGGGGGGGGGGTCCTGTCCTCAAGCACCTGTGATTATTAACAGTTGAATGTAAAGATGTACAGTTATACATATACTAGTATATGATATAGATACAAAATACCGGTATTTCAATGATACTTATTAAAAATCATTAAATAATTAAGAATACCATACACTGTACTATGTATTTTAAAATTCTGTGCATTGGACCAATTGGCCCAACCATATAGGACCAATTAAACTTTATTACTATATTTATGTGAAAAAAAACCCACTCCGTCATGGGATCTGATCCTACCTCTGATGTTTTGGAGGTCCGTATTTGCTCTGAGATTGAATACTATTCGTTATCTCCATAACTAGATCAACATTAGCCTACAACTTGAGGTCATTGTATCTTAATATTACCAATAATAGTACGTTATCAAACATTGGCCCATCAATGGTATGCCAATATCAACGTACAACCAATAGCTAATTAGTTAGTACCGTTGGACCGATATAAGTATACTAACTGGGTATAAACATATATTAAAAGATGTCAAGAAGAGTCAGAGAGACATTTAAAATGTTATTGTAAATCGGTCTGTTCATGTTGAAACAATAAATCAATAAAGGATTTCTCAGACATTCATTAAATGTTTTATGTAGCATACATCCATAAAATTCCTTGAAAAAAATCCATTGGAGTTTGTAGGAATTGTGTGACCGAAAATTCGGTAAGATTTATGAAGAATCCATTAAATCTTTGTAATAGAAAAAATAATCATTTCCATTTCTGACTATTGTTTAGGCATAATAAAATTTAACATCACAATGTAATAGTAAAATAAAAGCTCAAATGAACATGCCGTTCATTCTGTACATCAAGCATTTTAGATAAATTGGTCTGCCCATGGCATGTGTTCTTTAAGGTCACTAAAATATTCAGGTTCTTACAAATATTAACTTCGTTACCATACAAAAGAACACAAAATTATGAAACCCTAATAAATATATGCAAGATATCGAAAACGAATGTCATATTTGTCATCTTGGCAGCTTAATGCACATAATTGTCTGAATCATTCTTCCTTAAATATGTTAGGATCCCTTGCCTGATAAGATAAATTACATACATGCATTCCGTTTCAAATTCTATCAAGGAATTGATAAAAAGCATAACTGTCATATAACTGCTGCAATAAGAAGGTCGAAGGCAGAAAGAGGACACATGTCTCCAGTTGTATTTCTTTTGTCTGCATTTCTTTATCAACATCTCTCATTGAAATTAAAGACTGCATATAAATAAGCTATCTATGCTCAGTCTGATCCGTGCTTCAAGTTCAGATCGTCTTTACTAATAGGGATATCTTATTTGAGAATGACTGGTTAGTGGAATTTGATATAATTGATATTGCGTCAAATAAGGATTTTTCACGCATTATTACGAACAAAGATGACCAGCTTTTCCATCGTCTACTTTCCTTATTTATATTGTAATATTCCTTTATCTTTGAAGGTTTACGTCCACCAACTTATTCGATACTCATGAGTTTGTTCTGAGTACGATCATTTTTTTTACAGCTAGACAGGGTAATGACGGATAACTTAATGTCATTGTAATGGGAATTTTAACAACCTCTTTTAAAGTCAGAATTTCTCAGTTACTATGGTCGTCAAAATGACCTTCACGCGATGTTAAATAATGTATCCTATCCTTGGGTCGTACTTTGGTTGACATGTTTAATACCGATTCCTTGGCCTCGATTTTTATATAAATTTGCCTAATGAATAGACATTGCTCACAACAGGTGTATATGTGACCTGTCAAAGGGGATCAATGCTTTGTCCTCATATTCATCTGTTTCATATCCGAAGTTTCAAAAGGTCTGTGATTTTTATCACCAAAGTCTTGTTGTTGACCAAGCACAAATTTAAAAAAAAAATCCAAGTATTTTCTTTTCTTTTGAAGAAGCATTGATTTATGATATCAAAAAGTCGAGGTTTTAGTTTCTTATTAATCTTAACAAATCGTTGGATAAAGAATTTTATTGCATATTAATCCTACTGACTTCAGAAGCATTGTTTTGTGTGTGTGTGTGTTGGGGGGGGGGGGGGGGGGGGGGGTTTAAAAGCAACATCTGATAAAGACAACTAGATAAATTGTATTACGTATCTTTACATTAGTTTTTCTTGTATTCATATGAATCAGAATTTGTGCAAAATTTAATGCGTGAAAAGAAGAAAACACTTGTTGTGGCCTTCAACTCGACATTTAGATATATCGACGACGTATTGTCAATTAACAATGGTTATTTCCATTCTTATGTCGATACGATATATCCCGGTGAACTAGAGATAAAAGATCCAACAGAGTCCGACACATCTGTTTCATACTTGGATATTTTACTTGAAAAAGACGTTAATGTTAACCTAACAACCAAGCTCTATGATAAACGTGATGACTTTAACTTTTCTATCGTCAAATCCCTTACTTATACAGCAATATACCTTCATCACCTGCATACGGAGTTAATATACCTCAATTGATTCGATATGCTAGAGCATGCTCTATGTATGAACAATTTCTACAAGGAGGTAAATTGTTGATGAAACAAGAATATCAGCAGTCTCGTTTTAAAGTCATCATTTCGTAAGTTCTACGGTCGATACAATAGACTTGTCAGCAAATACAATTTATCATTGAGTCAAATGCTGACTGTTGTTTTTCATACAAATTGTTAGTCCATTATTTATACACGGAATTGACGAGGGATTTTTTGTTATTTTCCGATCATGACATGGAGCACACGGCAGGTGTGACCGGTCAGCAGGGAATGCTCACTCCTCCGTGGTACCAGATCCCACCTCTGATGTTTTGGAGGTCCATGTTTGCTCTGCTCCTATTTTGTATTTTTTTATGGACTTTTGATCTTGAATACTGTTCGTTATTTCAATATGTTTCAGTTAACATAAGCTATTATTTCTGTGGCGTTAAAAGATTGGGTCTTAGTAGAACATTTACTGGAGTCGTCAACGTATCTTTGTTAGCATTTTGATAAAGTGTCAGAATTCACTATAGTGTAGATCAAACTCAACTTGGTTTATTGGAATTATAATTATGAACACTAAAATTTGATTTTGGGAAATTTTGCTCTTCAAAAATGACTTAAATATCAAAATATCATAAGGTTACGCAATATGCAATAGAATTTTGAAATGGAATACATTGAGTCCGAAAATATCACAAAATTTCTTTAAAAATTTACAATCGCTTTTGTTAGTGAAGGCTTAATAAGTGTTAAAGTTTTCTGAATAAAGAAGTAAGCTTTTATTACGCTTTGTAACTCTGAGAGCAAGAACATCTTCACCCCCTGAATATTTCAAAAATATAACCTAAACATTCCCCATACAGCTAATTACTTTTCAATCTCCCCCTTCATTTGCATGGAAAGTACATCGACCTTGACAAATATTTTAGACATGAGCATTTCTTAATTTGTATATATATTGGATTTCATCTTTTATTATAGAAATTTAAATTTCAAAATATATATTTCTAACTGAAAAAGGAAGTGATAGAATGAAGGCCAAACAAGGAATGCCAAAATAAGTGAGATGGGCGGGGCTCGATTTATCGATTTCTAATCGCTCAAATAATCAGATCAATAAATAACGAGTATTTTTACCCAATGTCAAAGAAATGAAACAAAGGTATAAAGCTATTTAAAGTTAGAATTGTTCATTTATTGACGTAACTGAACAAATAGCCTAAACATTGAATAAATAAACAATAGGTTTTTTTTCTGTTTTGTATTGAATATCAATAACAAAATTGTTAAAAGGATATTGTTCATCAAGTTTAATAAGTTAAAATATGAAGGCTTGGAAACCCAAACTAATTGCATCTTCTTTGACAAAAGCACTGCCAATATTATGTACTAAGTAAATTTTGCAAAAAATACAGAAATATCAGAGTATTACATTTTGAATACTCTGATTGTTAGGTTGATTGTCCTGAATTGCAAAAATTGTGCTTTTTCATTGTATCGGTAATTCATCATTCCTTCAATTCTAAATATTTGAACAATACCTGAATAATTGGAATGGAATTTCTAACAAGTCATGAAACAAAAATAGCAGTAGGTATACGGGTTATATATTGATTTCTTTTCTTAATCAATTTGCTTTCAAAAATGCTTCTTTAGTTCCTTACTTAACAGAAGCTGATGGAAGGGGGAACAAAACTAATTCTTCTGGTTGAATATTTCCCTTATCAAGACGATAATTCCATTCAAAGGATAGAGAGAGTTTCCTTTATTTAAACAAAAATTTAAATGAAAAGTAAATTTATATTAGTATATTGACTAACACACTTTAAATTCTGGTCATATAGATTGATCAATTTTACGGACAAACTGGTGTAGAATTAAATAGGTGCTGACAATGAAAAAATCATTTTTTTAAACTGATGTATTTTTCGAAAGTTTGGTGATTATACTTATGCATAAGTTATGAAACCACTTAATCCCAAGTAGAAAAATTTAACTTGGTCAGGCTGATGATAATCTAACCATGATGATTAAAAATTAAAAATGCAAACTTAAACAAACAAGATAGAGGGCTCCTTACTGAATCTGACACTAGTCAAACTAATTTTCTACCGAACAGTCAACAGTAATATTAATGATATAAAAGTTATTCGAAAAGCATTAACATTTAGCATTTGCTAAAATACTAGTAATCCACCAAACTGAATGGATATGAAAGTTTCTTCTCAACATAGCTGCATGTTAATCGTTACGATTTATGAGAGTTCATAAGATATCTCAGTTAAAACAAGATGAGTGGAGCAATATTATTACAAAGAGTGCCAAAAGTGATCTCTAAGCGATGTGTTCGGGTGCCATGAAGAAGTAAACATCATCCCTCGCCTGCTTGTTGTTAGAAGCGCGTAACAGAATTGCTTTAGCTAACAATTCATAAGAAATCGCATACCGGATTGTTATGTTTTCGGATTTTTTTTCTATTTGCTGAAGTATGATAAGGAGCATACGACAGGTTTGACTGGTTTACAGGGGATGCTAACCTGGTACAATCTTTTATGTTTTAGAGGTCCTTGTTTGCTCTGCTCCTGATTTATATCGTTTCAATGTGCAACACGAAGAAGTAATGAAAATATATAAAATATATAATTCTTTCTCACTTGATTGTGAGGCAAAGGGACAAGAAATATAATTATGTTAAAATTATAACTTCAGTGCACCTAAGGCTTTGATTCCTTTGAACGTTTCTTAATTTGTAAATTGTAACTTTCATTAATTAAATAATAATATCCTCAAGTATTATTGAATTTAGCATTTTTACAGTTTTGTTTAATGTGAAGCCAAACTTATCCAGGTCACCTTGGCGAAGGTGATTAATTATAAGCTAGAAAAACCTTCGGGAGGGAAACAAAAATGACCTATCCCAGAAGTGAGCAGGAAAAAATAAAGTGGAAACTAGAAAAAGACGGAAACAGAAATAAGAGACAGACCTAGGATTCAAAGGGTCAAATATAGTATATAGTAATATGATTTCAGGGTAAACAAAATTAATTTTTCTTGTTTGTTCTGAACCCTAATTTTCCTCCAAGAAGATTCTGGTCATAGTGTATTTTGGTGTTTGAGAGTTTCTTTTGTAAAGTATTGAGGACCAATCTCTCTAGATAGGACTCTGATGCGCTATGTGTGTAGCCATCACGGACAGACCTACAGACCGTCACCAGCTTCACAGGGGACTTTGATATGTAATGTAATGTGTCTGTGAAGTTCTGTAGTCTTTCTCTTATAGTTTCAGGATCATAGTCCAGCCCCTCTGAATTCGACTGGTTACTGTCACTTGCACAAAGTGTGAAACGTTTCTCTGGTAGTTCTTTCACACTCTGTCGCACGGTGCTGAGACAAAATCCTGTTTCTTTTATAACATCTAAATGGGAACTTGGCAGAGTCACTATTTGTCGCACAAAACGTTTAAGAAAGAGATTTTTCTGCCTTGCTGTTACGGAACAAGTCAGTGGAAACCACTTGTTATCATGCACCCGGAAATATTTCATTCCATATTCATAAAGTTTTGTATATCTGGTATTCAAAACGGAATTATTTCTGTTTTTGTGAAGCATAACAAAATGTATGAATTCAGTGATTAGTTTATCAAGTACAGTTTCTTCTTTTCCATCTTTCGGACAAAATAGACGAGACAAATGAGAATCGAGATCCTCCAACTCTAACCGACTAACATTAGCTTGGAAAAGAATTGTATTGGCATCCATAAAGTTTAAATAGTCCACATCTATATCCAGAATTGTTTCTTCACTGAAAGTACAAGAGATATGAATTAGAATGTTATGTAATGAATGCAGGTGTGTTGATAGATAAAGAGCAGAGTTGTGGGACCTCAAGAAAACATAGTTTCTAATGAACTAAAAGAATCGTAGAAGGAAACACGTATCTTTTTTTAACAAATATCTGACATAACACCCTATGTGATCAAATAGAATCATTGGATATTGTCCTTCCTATAAGTTTTAATATGTTTGGATTTCAATCTACTTCTCAAACTTCAATGTTACAAAACATAGACATGGAGTGATATTGACATACCTCGATTTGCCCCCGTCGTATTTCCTTTTGAAATACTCAGCAGCCAGCTCCTCACTAATCTCCACATATTTTATTGTATGCTCCACTGCACAGTTCGTGTAGTCTATGTTCACGACACCACTCACCATATCTGACACGGAATTGTGGAAACACGTATTTTCACCGCTGTCAGAATCAAATATGCACATACAAATTTCCTGCTTATTTTTGTTATCCTTGACATTTGTCAAGCCAGCCTGAATAAGACTGAGGGAGTATTTATCAAAATGACTCCTGTGATCCCATTTTGGCCAAATCCAGATTACCTCCCTTATCAGACCAGTAAGCACAGCTGCCTAAAAACAGAAAATTACCGATGTTTATTCATCATGATGAAAAATTTCCCTAAGCCATTCTGGCCTTATGAATGAATTTTTTTGTGTTCATTATGTATCGTTTCTTTTTATATTTGTATTGTAAATGGTGTGATTCATATAGAATATCTGTTTCAATGAATTCATGTTTTTATTATTGTAAAATTTCTTATGTTACCATACCGCATACCAATAATATTTGTATTTTTGTTTTTTTCCTTCCAAAGAATTTTATTTTTTCCCCCATGTTATGAAATAATTTTCAACGATAAATTCTCATTAGTCACATCACATTTACATGTAGATTAAATTTCAAATACATAGTACAAATACATCGTTTTAATAGTACAAGGCAAAAATATTATATTAAGGTTTTAAACAATTTTACAATAAGTTCCATGCACATAAATGTCTAAAGGAATCTCGCATTATGATTGGTAAAAATTGATAATAAAAGTAAATATGAGATAAGCAAGAATCCACAGTATCCTAGGGTCTATTTTATATTTTGCATAGAGAAAAAGTCGATTTACGCTTAGGAAAACAAATTATTTATTTGATATAATTTTTTATTTTGAAAGTAAACATGTTTAAATCTTAAAACTCAATATTTAAGCAAAGAACAGGGGTTTCATGTAAAAGGCTCTCTTATGTGGCTAAGGGTCAGTACATTAAAAGTGTTCATATGAAAAAAAACAACCTTTCTTCCAAATTACAGGATAAGTAAAGCTAAAATCCATGTTTGTGACCACATGTTACCAAGAAATCAATATTATCCTACCATTACATACTGGTCGTTGGACTGCAATAGGTATTTAATCATTTCTAGAGTCGGTATTTCGTTCAACGGAAATCCTTCCAATAAAAATGGTGCTGCTAAACTGGAATGTTTGTCAAAACGGATCTGGAAATTCAAATAAAGAAACATATGAAATCACAGTCATTCTGTTTGGATACATATATGCTAAGTATTATAAAAATTGAATAACAGTTTATTTTACCAGAGTTATGTCCCTTTTGGGAATCAGTCCTTCTGCGGCTGCTTTAATCCAGTAAAATAGTACTACAACAGGAAAAGGGATGGAAGTAAAACAAACTCTTCGTGAAAAAAAAAAAATATATATTTATGCCTCCTCCTTCCTTTACCTCAACATAACATAAACACCATATATGTTGAAATTGTAATTTATTGATCAAATAAATCTTGATCAACAATCCAAACATGTAGTAGAAACAAATAAAAATATCAACCAAAATATTCCTAAAACTACATGCAATTATACGGTTCACAAAAACAAACAAATACAAAAGAATGTACAAAATGCAATTAGTACTTCAAAACCAAACACTCAAGAGTTTACTTTTTCATACAATGAACATAGCTAAGTTAAAAATTGACTTTGAATCTGTCTCGAAAAACAGACAGATATACACACAAATTTACACACATAAATACATATACGTAAACTTAAAAAGTAACATGTATGGGACTAACAGATAAGTTCAAATGTTAATAATCAAATAATGGGCAAAGGTGGGGTCCATTAGGGGAGGAGGGTGGAAAAACAAAAATTTCGTTAAAAAATTTCTCTGTGATGTTGCGCTTCTATCAGGCTAAAGTTACATAAATAAAGGACGCTATCTTTCAGCCAATCAAAATTCAGTATTGCTAAGAGGTAACATACGGGCATTAGCTTTGGTTAAATAATAGAGGCTCCCCACAGGTTACAAAATAAAATATGTACAGTTGTCAGCATAAAATCATTTATTACATAAATTGCATTTATGCCTCCTCCTTCCTTTACCTCAACATAACATAAACACCATATATGTTGAAATTGTAATTTATTGATCAAATAAATCTTGATCAACAATCCAAACATGTAGTAGAAACAACTAAAGATATCAACCAAAATATTCCTAAAACTACATGCAATTATACGGTTCACAAAAACAAACAAATACAAAAGAATGTACAAAATGCAATCAGTACTTCAAAACCAAACACTCAAGAGTTTACTTTTTCATACAATGAACATAGCTAAGTTAAAAATTGACTTTGAATCTGTCTCGAAAAACAGACAGATATACACACAAATTTACACACATAAATACATATACGTAAACTTAAAAAGTAACATGTATGGGACTAACAGATAAGTTCAAATGTTTATAATCAAATAATGGGCAAAGGTGGGGTAAATGTTGTATGAAAAAGTAAACTCTTGAGTGTTTGGTTTTGAAGTACTGATTGCATTTTGTACATTCTTTTGTATTTGTTTGTTTTTGTGAACCGTATAATTGCATGTAGTTTTAGGAATATTTTGGTTGATATTTTTATTTGTTTCTACTACGTGTTTGGATTATTGATCAAGATTTATTTGATCAATAAATTACAATTTCAACACACACACACACACACATATATATATATATATATATATATATATATATATATATATATATATATATATATATATATATATATATATATATATATATATATATATATATATATATATATATATATATATATATATATATATATATATATATATAAATAATGTGTTAAAACTACGTAGTGTGCCGCTTTAATGGGTTTGACAAATTACTCTCTTTATTAAATAATATTTTTAAACGTTTCCGGTCCTCATTAAAACCAGATGTGCAAAAAATGCAGAATTTGCATGGTGAATAATTTCAACGCTACTAAATACCAAATTATATTGCATTATAAATGTTAGTTTAAATAAATCTTAATACTCATACTTTCTTCTCACCTTTTTGGCGCTCATCTACAATGGTGATGTTTACTGGTTGTTTTGTTTCTCCGGTTCTCGACTGTAAACTATACCTCATAGTTGTAGCCCTGGATTGTAAAATATCACGTCTGGTTTTATGATTTGAGATCGACTGCACATGCACCTTTCTGGAAGGTGCTTTAAATGTATTTTTGTCCACCCCTGACAGATCAACAACGGATAAAAGGCAACAAATAAATCCCAACCAAATAATTGTAAATCCCAGGGATATTACTACCACTTTTGAATATTTCTTCATCGTTTTCAGTACACACCTGGGGAAAGAGGTGCAATGAAGTGTAATAGCATTATCGGAAGCTGTCACGGGCAGACGTACTACGAAAAGGTGCCCTGAGAGCTAATTAATTCACTCATGCTTTACCTAACTTGATGTCAAGGACAACCTTTGAAAATGGCATTTACCATCATTACCATTAATATTTAGATCAGAATGACAAACTGTGCAAACACTTATGTTTGGCATTTTAACGAAAAAACAACTGTTAGAATATAATAATTTTAAAATTTCCATTTAATTAATGAAATTATTTTCTTTAGTGAGGTTGTTACTTATTCTATTTATCTAGTGAATGCATGAAGTGAAATGTGGATATAACGACAGACTGTATCAAGCTCAAAGGAATAATCAAACAATGAAATCAAACAATGCAAATCAGAAGAAGAGCAAACACGGACCTCTGTAACATCAGAGGTGGGATCAGGTGCCATGGAGGAGTAAGTATGCCCTGTCGATCAGTCATGATTTGACAAACGGATAAAAGGGACAAACAGAAAAAGTCTAACAATTGATAAACCCCAGTCAGCATTCAACTAATTATAGACTTTTTTTATAATGTGTTTGCATGGAAAAAATAATTTGCAAAAAGAATAATTTAAAGGAAACTGTTGATATTTTGTTTTATCGACTTCTTTGCGTGAGTTTGTCTCGTTTTAGAATTTGTTGGAACTACGTAGCGCATGCTCTTGTGCCTCGAATCAACTGGGAGACATGAATCCAATATCATGGTGAAAAGGGTATGTGGCTATATATGCAAGGGTAGTTGACCACAGAAAAGATGAAGCAATCACCTTTATCATTAAGCTTAGTTTAAATTACTATTAATGTCTATCTGTAGTTTAATATCCAAATAAGAAACAGTTGTCTCAGGCCCTGTGGCCCTGTAGACCACAAGACCAACATTAGCCCATTTTCGAGCGCGGTCTTATTTAAACAAGAGGAATACTGGTATTATGAAAAATGAGTCTGGGCGTCAACGAAAGTTTAACTAAGCGTTTTAGCCCCGTAGCAAAGGCCGAATGCTTTTTGTACGAAAATTTCTTAAACGAGGTAATTTACAAACAAGTTGACGAGCCAAGAACATCAAAAATATGTTTAAATAATCATTTCGCAAGTTTAAAGGTATATACAAAGACCTTGTCAGAAATACAATTTATCATTTAGCCAATGATTGACGTTTTACATAAAACTGCTATTTATACACTGAGTTCTCAAAGGAATTTTTCAGTTATTTCAATACTATAACAAGAAGCACACAGGTCGGCAGGTGATGTTTACTCCTGCATAGTACCTAATTCCACCCCTGAGGTTTCAAAGTCCGAATTTGCAGATGTTCTACCAAGTAATGTATTGTAAAATATTGTCTGCAAGTGGGTCAATTTTAAGTAGTACTTAAGTCTTTTCGATTCCAAGAATTGTAAAAAATGTAAGTACGATTATACATATTAAGTTTTTGTGAAGACTATTGTCACACCGACGGACAATCTATTTGAATCTTTTCATTAGAATATAGACGTATTAATATAGGAATGATTTCTTCGCTTGCTCATTATAAAGCAACTGTCTACATGTCTTAGACTTTCTGACGTATGCATACAGTGACAAACCTTGGAGGTTGACAAGTGACCTTTACTTTCAAAACTAGAAACGAATAAGATACATGGAAGGTGTTTAAAATAATAAAATGATTTCTTTTTGTAATTAGTTAGGGAATTAATGTCGCAACTGTTGCAGAAAAAATATATATAACCAGTGTAAGCGGCTTATGTTTATTTTTCTGCAAAAGCTGTGACATTGATTTCCGTGCCAACAAAGAAAGACATTTTATTGTTTTTATATATACTGAAAGGAAAAAGAAACGCAGGGTAAACTAGTACTTTTAAGGTGAATTAATTTTTTTCCTTTAATTTATTTCAGTATTCCTTTCTACCTTTCTGACTTTTAAAATCATCTTTCAAAAAGATATAACCAAAATCCCATTTGATTTTGTCTAATAATTATGAGTTATTGAAGCTCATATGACGATACCCCCAAAAGTGAAAATTGAAAACTCTCATTATCTTGATTGTCTCTCCCGCGCATCTATAATGAGCCTTATATCTCCTTTGCATGGAATTCATCAGAGTGTTTATCTTTCAAACCCTGGCTATATTAGGCATGTGTAACCACGCCAAAAAATTATCCATACGACGCGCGCATGCGCCTTGAGAGGAACAAAACAGTAATGTTGACCGGCTCAAAAAACCAAATTGCGGAATTGTTTTCTTTAATTTTTCGTGCGAATGTAATGATAATAATAGTCTACTGTATAAAAACGGTTTCTGTGGTAGTAAGGTGGAAATTTCAGAGATGGCAGGACGAATAACCAGCTCGCAACATGACTCTGTTTCGCGTTAACGTCATCGTCACGGTTGATTGAAAACCATTCCAGGCACTCTCTGACAACGGGTAACAAGTTTTATTGGGGGAAATTTACAAGAAACTGCGTTGTTACCCGTTTTTGCCTTTTTCATTAAGTAGGCAATTCGAAAACCAGACCCCATGGAACTTCCTTAAACTGCACCAAGATTGCAAGAAATTCATATCGTCTCTAAATATTGAAAAACAATGTGTATACCTCAGGTGCAAAAAAGTGCAATTAGATTGGTTGGCAAACTCGACGTCATCAAATTGCACGAGTTTTGGTCTTAAAGCATTTTCCCTACGTGACGTAATACATTTTACGGTTGAGTAATTCTGAACACTGATTTTGGTGCATAGTAACTAAATTTCTCGTCTGACCAATTTTCGTAAGTACTACGTAATTAATTTACTACGCAAATTTTTTTTCGAATATAATGCTACCCTGCGTTTCTTTTTTCCTTTCATTATATATTTTTTGTATGAAAAAACATTGAAAGTAAAATTAAATATCTTAAATATTGTAATATAAACTAGAGGTACTGTGAGCAATGAGCTCACTAAATGATACCCCCGCTTCCCATATGAATGTAATAGTAGTGTACATGTTTTGCTCTGGAAAATCCAAAATATACGTCAGATTAAAAATTAAAATAGGAGGTGCACAATGGCAATATGTAATAAAGATTCTGTGAAAGTTTCGTTAAATTTCACTCAGTAGTATAAGAGGAGTTGCGGATAAGAGATGGGTACCCCAAAGCGTAACAGACGGACGGACGGACAGACGGACAGAAATACCGATTACTATATACCCTCCCACTTTTCAAGCGGGGGGTATAATGAATATGCCATTGTATGCATAATTAATGGGACAGTTTGTCAAAGAAATCTATGCAAGAGGCTCGCATAGTGTTATCATGCACTGATTAATGGCAATGGACTTCATAAGAAATAAAGGAAAAGTATTCATTGGATGTAAATATTCTTTCATACCATTTTCGGACGTACACATTTCATTTATCTGAAATGAATCAGGAACTTTATGTCATATGAATTCTAGCAACAATGAAAAAGATGAAGAAAACGAACAGTAATCAACCTTAAAAATATAAACAATGCAAAAATGTGAAGAGGGCACAAGTGTATGTATATACAATTTAATATGTGTTTGTTTTATAGTCTTTTGAGATTTTTCACTCATATTGAAAGTTTACCACTTGCCAGTGAAGACTGCAAAGACTTCTTTAGTTCTATATTCGACAGGGGTATTTTCTTGCCAGCACCTACCCACGTAGGACCACATTTCATACACTGTACGGTTTAATCAAATAATCGGCCTCGACATCACACGGTGAATTCAAAGGAATTCTCAACGTAAAGATCAACTAATCACCTGCCCACCTCTGATGTTTTGGAGGTCCGTGTTTAAACTGCTTCTATTTTGTATTGTTTTATGGACTTTTGATCTGGAATTCTGTTCGTTATTTTCATTTCCTTCACCGTTAAAACTATGGAAAATGCATTTCTAAGAACCTATTAATATTAGATAAATGGCATAGCGCGTTATGTGGTTATCCCCTGCTGACCGGTGTCGCATAATATTTGGTCCGCCTCGTTTAAAGGTCCGACCGGTGTCGCATAACATACGTTCCGGGTAACTTAGCGTTCCGGCCGGAACGCTAAATACCTATTATATTGGTTCCGAGTCAAAATAAACGTTCCGGGCCGCGTAAGATTGGTTCCGATCATTCTAAACGTTCCGGGCAAACAATTACCTTAGTTAATTCTTTATTTATAATTAATATTGGCTTTTATTTTTAATTTTCTTTTCTTTTTTATACGTTCGTATATGATACAGTAGCATTTAATGTAGGGCATACAATGTTTACATTTCAAGTAAGAATATGTGGGTTTTTTTACCAAAGACATTAATATTTATTGATGTCTCTGATTCGAATAATTTATTAATCCATGAAATTCCAGCTGATTATTTTGATTCTTTGTAAACAAAAGGTGTGAAATTTGTTGACATTGGTATACCCCATCGTGTTGTTTTACGACCCCCCTGGCTTCTATCGATACAAATAATTGCGCAGTCGTGCGAATCGCCGAAAGTCCACATGATGATTAAGGTAATAGATTTATTATAATTACGATTTAATAGACTTATTAGATGATATTTTAATTTCCTTACAAAATTTTCAAATACCCATAGTTCCGTCTCTGTAAAACCAACTATTTTGATCAATTGGTTTTAGAAAAACACAACTATGGGTATTTTAAAATTTGACTAAGTCAGTTGAAATACAATAACATAATATGAAACGATTGGATGACGGATCTAAAACGGGAATTTATAAGTAAAGCCATTTGATACGAAGAAAAAGTTTTTTTGTTCGTTGATTATTTTTATTGGCCAGGTCAAGCTTTTTTTCAATTTCAAAGTAAAATCAACAAAATATGATAAATTTGGAAATATTTCAATTACTCGGCTAAAAACCATTGAATAAAAATCAACTCGTTTTTATTTATGCGCGTAAGAACAACCTCATTTGTATTAACATGTGTAAAATGAAGAAGAAATGCCTGGCAGACA